AGCCACAGTCAGCAAAGAAAGGAGGGTTTTGGATAGATGGGGACCACAGAACTTGAAGGGGCCTCCAGTTTACTGGACCTATGCACTGGAAGGAAGGAGTTGCTGTCAACAAGACGGGAGTGGCCCATGGAGCAGGCTGCAGGGATGGCCAGGCCAGAGTCACAGAAGAGGATCCTGAGGAGTCTCTTGGGCCTGTGCAGAGCTCAAGACCAGTGCAGGAGGAAGAGTTGCACTGTAGGAGGAGGGGATGTTCCAGCTGGTCTAGGGCCCGACAGCCACTCCCACATACTGCCCTGCCCTAGCCTTCTTCCCTCTCTGGACACGCAAGTGGGAGCCACCTTTCTTTCTTTTTTTTTTGAGACAGAAGCTCGCTCTGTCATCCTGAGATGCAGCCTCTCACTGCAGCCTCTAAACTTCTGGGCTTAAGTGATCCTCCTGCCTCAGCCTCCCAGAGTGCTGGGATTTCAGATGTGAGCCCCTGTGCTCAGCCAGGACCTACCCTTCTGATGCTCCAGTGAAGACAGGGCTAACCTATAACACCAAACAGGGCATTGTGAGGCCAAGTGCAGTGGCTCACACCTGTAATCCTAGCACTCTGGGAGCCTGAGGCAGGTGAATTCCTTGAGCTCACGAGTTCAAGACCAGCCTGAGCAAGAGCAAGACCCCATCTCTACTAAAAATATAAAAACTGGCTCGGTGCCTATAGCTCAAGTGGCTAGGGCACCAGCCACATACACCAGAGCTGGCAGTTTCAAATCCAGCCTGGGCCCACCCAACAACAATGACAACTACAACCAAAAAATAGCTAGGCGTTGTAGCAGGCACCTGTAGTCCTAGCTACTTGGGAGGCTAAGGCAAGAGAATCGCTTAAGCCCAAGAGTTTGAGGTTGCTGTAAGCTGTGACACCACAGCACTCTACCCAGGGCGACAGCTTGAGACTCTGTCTCAAAAAAAAAGAATAATAATAATGAAAATAGAAAAACTGAGGCAAGGGAATTGCTTGAGCCCAAGAGTTTGAAGTTGCTGTGAGCTATGACACCACAGCACTCTACCCAGGGTAACAGCTTGAGATTGAGACACTGTCTCAGAAAAAAAAAAACTTTGGCTCGGTGCTCATAGCACAGTGGTTACAGCCCCAGCCACATACACCACAGCTGGTGGGTTCAAGCCCAGCCAGGGCCAGCTAAATGACACAGCTGCAACAAAAAAATAGCTGGGCATTGTGGCAGGTGCCTGTAGTCCCAGCTACTTAGGAAGGTGAAGCAAAAGAATCACTTAAGCCCAAGAGTTTGAGGTTGCTATGAGCTGTGATGCCACAGCACTCTACGAAGGGTGACAGCTTGAGACGCTGTCTCAAAAAAAAGGGCTTTGTAACCAAACAGGTGACAGGCCACTCCCACGGCACTTGTCAGTGGAGGGAGGTCCTCCACGTGAGCTGTCAGCACCTCCAAATGCCAGAACTTCAGCTCCTCCTCCCTGCTGTCCTAGTATGGCGTGAGCACCCACAATGCGCCACAAGCAAAGGTCCATGAGATAAACTTAAGGTAATAAGGGGAAATAGACCTCAGCCATGAACAAACAGCATGCAGCATGGGCAGGGAGCAGACAAATGTCCAACCAAGAACTAAAGAAATCAAGGGTCAGCCCCACCTCCTAGTGTTAAAAACCAGCCTGAGCAAGAGTGAGATTCTGTCTCTACTAAAAAAAGAAAAACTAGCTGGGCCTTGTGGTGGGCGCCTGTAGCTACCAAGAAGGCTGAGGCAAGAAAATATCTTTAGCCAAGGAGTTTGAGATTGCTGTCTGCTATGCTGCCACAGCACTCTACCAAGGGCACAGAGACCTTGTCTCAAAAAACAAACAAACAAAAAAGCCAGAAAGGATGAAACTTCAGGGTTTCTGAGACAGGGGTGTCATCTGACCTGCCAAACAGTACCACCTGGAGACACCAAAGACCTTGGAGGCCATGAGACAACAGAGAGGAAGAAAGGGGGTGACAGCCCCAGAAGATGGGTTGGAAGAGGGACACCAAGGCAAGCCCTCACCTTGGAGGGAGTCCACAGCTGCCTGTAGCACCCGGAGAACCTCCTCACTGAGCAGAGGGAAGTAATTCTGAGGGAGGAACTCAGGCAGGTTCTCCCGCTGCAGACGGTTGCCCAGGTGATCAGGCAAGCCCACCACCTTGCTGAGCAGCATCTCACGGAGCACAGGGAAGCTGGGCCTCATCTGCTGCTGACACTGCGCCTCCATCAGAGCTGCCATCCTCCCCTCCCTGAGGAACCTGGCGAGCAGCTGAGCCATCTTCATCAGACGGAAACTAGGGCTGAATGTCAGGACACAGGTGTGTAGGTCAAAGCCCTCGAAGCCCTCCCTCCTCAGCACCTCCTTCCAGCCACCAGGAATCACAGCAGCCCCTTACTAAACAGGTAGTCCCACCAACTTAATTACCATTTAAGTCCTAAGTCAGAAGTTGAAAAGAAAAATCTCTTTAGTTCCACTCCTAAATGACCACAATTACTAGTGGGATGTAGGCACTCATGGGGCCCTCCACAGCTTCCCCAACTGGGAATCACATTGGACACTCCACTTCCTCTCCTGTTCTATGCTGACTGTAACTCGGTGCTTGCTTTTAATCACAGCAACCTCTAAAAACACAGCTTCTCAAAAACATGGCTCTTCACAAGGATTGCAGTGACCTGATGTTTAATCTGGGGACCATCTGAAACCAGGAGTCCACATCAGACATCTATCAGCAATGCTGTGCTTCCCTAAAAAACCTGAAATGTCCTGAGGAGCCCCGTGAGCTTGTTGCAGTGCCCAGGTGCCTTGCTGCAGAACTGGGAAACCTAGAGATAGTGAAAGGGCCTCAAGAGGACGGCACATGCCAACTGGCCCTGACTCTCCATCTCTGCCCCTGGGATGTGAACACTCCTACTCCTGTTCTTCTGAGACACAGCAAGACAGAATATAGCATGTGACAGGGAGACGATGCAGGGTTAGTGGACACGGACCACCTTATGTCTGGGTGTTCAGCTGTGTACAGGCTCTTCTCCCAACCTCAGCACCTTTGGAAAGCTGGATTCTCACAGAATTTAGACAAACTGTTAGTTCACAGTCCCACAGTCTTTTCTCCTGTGTCTGAGGTCACAACCCATGCTAGGCTGGGCACAGTGGCTCATACCTATAATCCCACCACTACGGGAGAATGAGGCAGGCAGATTGCTAGAGCTCAGGAGTTTGAGACCAGTCTGAGCAAAATCAAGACCCTGTCTCTACTAAAAATAGAAAAAGTAGACCCTGTCTCTACTCCATGGGGCAGCGCCTGTGGCTCAGTGGGTAGGGTGTCAGCCCCATATACCAAGGGTGGCAGGTTTGAACCTGGCCCCAGCCAAACTGCAACAAAAAATAGCCGGGTGTTCTGGTGGACACCTGTAGTCCCAGCTATGCAGGAGGCTGAAGCAAGAGAATCGCCTAAGTCCAGGAGGTGGAGGTTGCTGTGAACTATGACACCACAGCACTCTACCAAGGGTGACATAGTGAGACTCTGTCTCTTAAAAAAAAAATGAGAAACTTCCAGTCTGAGCAAGAGTGAGACCTCATCTCTAAAAATAGCCAGGTGTTATAGGTGCCTCTAGCCCCAGCTACTCAGGAGGCTGAGGCAAGAGAATCACTTTAACACAAGAGTTTGAGGTTGCAGTGAGTTGTAATGTCATGGCACTCTATCGAGGGCGACCAAGTGAGACTCTGTCTGAAAAAAAGAAAAACTAGCTGGGCATTGTGGCAGGCACCTGTAGTCTCAGCTACTTGGGAGGCTGAGGAAGAATCGCTTGAGCCCAGAGTTTGAGGTTGCTGTGAGGTAGGCTGACACCACGGTACTCTACCCATGGTGACAGAGTGAGACTCTGTCTCAAAAATAAACAAATTAAGAAAATAACCCATGCTCAGACGCTGCCACTCACCCGGCAGTGCCCTCAATAGTCTCCATCAGCACCAGGAAGGCTTGGTCAGCTGGGCCCTCCAGGAAGAAGCTGGCCCACAGCGCCTCTAGCCGGCCGCCAGGCAACAGCTCCAACCAGTCGGGGCTCAGCTTGCTGGCAAGGCTTCTGAGTAAGGTGGAGAAGTGGACTGTGGCAAACTCCTCCTTCTCCCCAGAGAGGGCTGAATTCTCGGTGTCACTGAGATACCGCTTCAGGGACGCCAGGGTAGAGAGGATATGGCCACCATCCTCAGAAGACGAAAGAATGTGAACAGCCTCCTGTACAGCGAGTCGCACCACAGAGAGGGCTGGATCCATGCTGCAGGGAGGTCTGGAGTCCCAGGAAGCACAGTGAGAAGGCCAAGCCGGAGTCTGGGGGCTGCGAAGGACTTCCCCACACAGCCTCTCAGGAGAACTTCCGTCGCGTTCCTCCTCCATGGGCCTCCCCCCACACTGCCCAGCTGCTCTCTGCCCCTGCCCCTTCCCTCTAGGACCTGACACTGCTTCTACCAAGGTCTGTTTCTATGCTGGGGCCCCTCCACGCTACCCTCTGCCCCAAGGTACAACGCCTCAGTACCCGGGGCAGACGGTACTCCAAGCTCCCGGACTTGAGCCGCGCGGTCCACGTGCAGGGAACACGGGCTCAAGAGACCGGAGAAGCTGGCCGACCCCCACTGCTCCCGACCCGTACTCAGACCAATCTGGACCCAGTTCCTGAATGGCCGTGGGCGCTTAGCCCGATCGCGGCCAATTCGCCACTCCCCAGGTCGAGTTCTGCCGCGGCCAGGCTGGAGGACCCAAGTACAAGTTCCCGGGAGCCTGCAGAGGGTTTCCTGGTGCCTCAGCCTAAGGTCCCCGTGGGCCGCTCAACACAAAGCAGTGGAGGCCCGGCCTTGCGACTGCGCATGCGCACGAGCCAGAGTCGGGCCAGGCCTGCGCTGGGGGCGGAGCCAGGTTTCTTCATTTGGCTGCGAGTGATTTACCACTCCCTGGTCATTCCTTGCCGTTGCTTTTTCTCTGTCTTTCCTCTGCTGTAGTGGTGTCAGCCGCCCCTTCCCTCCGCTCAATCGGTGAGACCAGATTATGGAATAAGAACTGTGGCTCTGGGTGGCGCCTATGGCTCAAGGAGTAGGGCGCCGGCCCCATATACCAGAGGTGGGGGGTTCAAACCCAGCCCCCGCCAAAATCGGAAAAAAAAAAAAAAAGAACTGTGGCTCTCTCCCAATCCCAACACTCTGGAAAGCCAAGGTAGTAGGAGTACTTCGCCTCCAAAGTTCAAGACCAACCTGAGCAAGAGTGAGACCCCCCATCTCTACTAAAAATAGCCAGGTGTTTTTGTGGGCGCCTGTAGTCTCAGCTGCTCCGGAGGCGCAGGCAGGAGTTTGAGGTTGTTGTAAGGGAAGCTCGGCGCCCGCAGTCAAGTGGTTATGGCGCTAGCCACATACACCCAGGGTGGTGCATTCGAACCCAGTCCTGGCCAGCTAAACAACAATGACAACTGCAACAAAAAATAGCCAGGCGTTGTGGCGGGCACCTGTGGTCCCAGCTACTTGGAAGGCTGAGACAATCGCTTAAGCCCGAGAGTTTGAGGGCATCACAGCAATGTAAGCGATGATGCCACCGCACTCTACCGAAGGCAACATAGTGAGACTCTGTCTCAAAAAAATAAAGAAAAGAACTAGGTCCAAAACTTAAACACTAGATGCATGTGACTATGTAAATTAACTGTAATTATATGAAATTATAAATTTGGCCAAGAAAAGGCTCACACCTGTAATCCCAGCACTAGGGGAGGCTAAGGCAAGAGAATCTTTTGAGCCCAGGAGTTTGAGGTAGCTGTGAACTACACTGATGCCATGGCACTCTAGCCTGGGCAGCAGAGTGAGTCTCCATCTCAAAAGAGAGAAAGACAGAGGATAGTGGGGGTGCCAATTTAGGTAAGGTGAGGCCTGTAAAAGACCCTAAATGTGGGGAATACCAAAGTAAGAGTTACTTAGAGGAAACCTGCAGTGCAAATGCTTGGGGCCACAGGTTGTGGCCAGAGGTGGAGCTAAGGAGGCCTGAAGGTGGGGGGTTCTGTAGGCCCTGGCAGGGCTACTTGCAGACTTTGCAGTAGGAAGGGGTGGGGGAAGCTCCTGCAGGGCGTTGAGAGAACTGGCCCTAGCTAGGTGCAGTCAGGAGAACAGACGGTAGTGGTAAGCTCTGGCACAGGGAGTCCCATTGGGCTTGGAAAAGACTGAAAGTGTTGAGAAGGCTAAACTCAGGGTGTTTCTTTGGAGACAGAGCGATGGTTTGGATGTAGGGTGTGAGACAGAATGGACACCTTGCTGGGACTCTATGGGAGTCCCACACCCTGGGAATTGTCCCCAGCATGCTGCTAGGGTGCAGCCCCCTCCAGTGCCTACAGTGGCTCCATTCCTCTTGTCAATGAAAAAGACAGAAAAGAAGCCATCCTCTGTAAAATAATTTAAAGAGGTTTATTTGGAGCCAAATTTGAGGACCATGACCTGGACTCCTGCCCAAGAAACCTTGAGCAATGGACTTGAGGTAGTGAGGTTACAATTTGGTTTTATACATTTCAGGGAGATGGGGTATAGGTAAAGTCATAAATCTTTATGTACATTGGTTTGGCCCGAAAAGGTGGGACATCTCAACGCAAAGGCCCACAGGTTAAAGATGAGTTTAAAGATTCTTTAGCTGACAACTGACCAACAGAGTTAGGTTCTGTCTAACAGACCAGGAGTCAATGAAAAGGAACACTGAGTTAAGATAAGGGTCTGTTAATCAGAGACAAACCACATGACATGTGCCCAGATTCAAGTGGTTTGTAGTGTATATTGAGAACCTGCAGGTGTGTCTTGCATAGCCTTAAGCCTGTTAATGAGGCACAGAGGACAGCTCTAAGGAGGCAAGGGAGTGTTACCTCCTTTTTTGTGACTAGCAACTCTGTTTTAGAGGACCCCTTTGGCCAAGAGGAGGGTCCACTGGGTGGGGAGGAGCCTTGAGATATTAGTTCACACTCTTTTACCGTCTTGTTTTCCTAAAGCCCAGTAACTTCCCAACCAAAGGACAGAGAAGATAAATTTCTCAAGTCTTTGCTTATGTGAAAGTGTCTTGTATATGTGCACTATGGAGTGTTATTCAGCCATCAAAAAAA